TTTACAGCGTTCTAGATTTCATATTCAAAATCCACATCTATAAGAGAGGTAAATTTTTAATTATATATATATATTCTCTTAAGGAGTGCTATATTTATGTGATAAAGTGCTCAATATCAGAGATAGAGTGTGTATAAATAAAAAAAAAACGAACATTGAAGTCAACACTTAGAGGCGACAGTCTGTTTTATGCTAGACGCAATCGTCAAGCCACATTTATATATTGTTATATCGTGGATAATACAATATAAGCAACTAGGTAATTCCGAGTGGAAAGATTACGCTAAATACAGGAATTAGGTAAAACAAATAGCATGGGTTTTATTGTACGGAAAGTACAATGAGTAAGAGTTCTGAATAATAATAATAATAATAATAAGGAAAACGGGAGGTACGTCACAGAGTACCGTAGTGGTACTGCTACTACAATACTTCATTATGTCTCTTTAGACTGACCAATCAGTGACGGGGTGTGATAGGCTGTTCCACTATAACATATATATATATAGAGAGAGAGAGAGATTTTTATGTTTAACATTCTTTTTATAGATACAAATATTTAAGTAAATGCTCTTTTTATAATAAACAGTATTAAATAACATTTAACGGCCTGAATTCACTGCTTTTAAACTTCAATCATCCAAGAAAATTTTCATAGAAAATATTGGTCCTCCGACAGGATTCGAACCTATATCCGATACGGAACCGTCATATAGCCTGACGTACTTTTACCGATTTCGCCACAGAGGATAGATCGGTTAGCAAGGTCGAATTCACTGCTTTTAAACTTCAATCATCCATGAATCTCTCACGTACATTCATATCTGCTCATGGCGTATCAAATGTAAACAAATGACGTCACACAATACGAAATGGGCAAAGTCCGACAATTATATTAAGACATTTTTTTTTTCATAGAAAATATTCGTCCTCCAACAGGACGAATATTTTCTATGAAAATTTCTCTGGACATTCAGGCCGGTAAATGTTATTTAATACTGTTTATTATAAACAGATCATTTACTTAAATATTTGTATTTATAAAAGAATGTTAAACATAAAATGTCTTAAAATAATTGTCGGACATTGTCCATTTATATATATATATATATATATATATATATATATATATATATATATATATATATATATATATATATATATATATATATATGTCTTTAATAAATAAATTGTCGGACTTTGTCCATTTCTTAATATATGACGTCATTTGTTTACATTTGATACGCCGAGACGGTTAAGGCACGTCAGCGTAAATGACGGTTCCGTATAGGATGCAGGTTCGAATCCTGTCAAAGGACGAATATTTTCTATGAAAATTTCTCGGACATTAAGGCCGGTAAATGTTATTTAATACTGTTTATTATAAACAGAGCATTTACTTAAATATTTGTATGTATAAAAAGAATGTTAAACATAAAATGTCTTAAAATAATTGTCGGACATTGTCCATTTCATTATATATATATATATATATATATATAAAAATATAAATTTTTGCTGCTAAAAGCTTTTAAGAAAAGAAGATTACAGTAACCGTCTGATGGTCTACCATTGGCGTTATCCATTATCGCTTTCTGGAATTTAACCAGAACATCACAACCAAAGGTTACTGCCAGCAACTGGATGAAACGTGCATTCAAGAAAAAAAAATGTGCCTGCCACTGGTTAATTGACGAGTTACAATTCGGCATCAAAACAAAGGTTGGCCACTTGTTCCCAGGATGATACTGCAGAAACTCGACGATTCCAGATATGGGACTTTGTCACATCCGCCATGTTCCCCTCACCTCTCGCCCACTTATTACCAACTTTTTAAAAGCATATTGGCAATTGTTTAAGCCAGAATTCGTCGCAAAAGAATATGCGGAAACTGACTTTAAATTTTTCTTGGCGTCCAGACTTTTCGAGGTTTATCGTAAAGGCATACATAGACGGCGGTATAAATGTAGAAATACCAGTGGTTACTATGTTGATTAATTTAAACGCTGTTTAAATACATTCATTCGGGAATAAAAGTTGATTCTAAAATCGGACATTATTTCCCAGACAAGATCATAGTTACCATTTTCATATTTATTTTTTTCTCTCCTATTTTCGTCATTCAGCAGAATCTAGAGTTACTTATTGATTACTAGCTGGCATTTAATGATGTCGTATTTAACTATATTAGGGTATTTTTTATAGTCAGTTTTTTCCCCATTCTGTGATTCCTTCTTAATGTTAACATTGCTTATGAGGGTAACATTTTTAAAGGCACTGGCTTTGCCAGCGTTTATGAAAGGAATATTCTAATTTGTTCCCTATTTGTTTATTTCCCAATCTATTTGCGTCCATTCCTTTCAGAAAAGACCATTCATAATTGCCGTTGTGTTTCATTGTGACTAAGATTAACAGTAACTATCATTCGCCATCTCCCATTTCTATTCTATATGTCAGTGTTTACAAACTTTTCTTCTTTGTGGCCCGGTTTTAGCACCAAATAAATTTCATGTCCACATGGGCACAAACATCATTTCCATTTTAACAGGTAATATATTTTATTTACAAAAAAACAAAATGTATTAGAAAATGCAAATCCTGACTAATAACAATACTGTCCGTGCTCTTTCATTAGAGCGAGTTTTCCGATCGATTTTCAACAATCGAAAGCGGTAACAAACGGTTAGTGCAACCTCTGGTAAATATGGCAGGTGGGGCAGAATGGGCCAATCGAGTTCCAAAACCTTTTCTTCTGTTATTTTACTGTACGCATTAACAATATTTTCCTATTGACGAGGGCAACAAATCTCCGAAAAAAAAATTGTTGACACATTGCAGCTGCTGGAATTATTAATGTGCATTTAGGGTTTCATTATTTTCTAAGACATTTAAATAAATATTACCAAAATGATTCCTTCACACGTTATGTTACCTTTCTGTTGTGGGGCTCTCCTTTTTTTTACATAAGATGGACTCGTCCAAAGTATACTTATACTGACAGAGAGAATACCTGCTGTTGAGATACGTTGAGATACGTGGAGATACGTTGAGATACGTTGAGACAGGTTGAGGGAGAAGGAGACAGACACAGGGTGTTCTCAGAGAGTTATACAAGAGTACAGAAAGAGAGAGATGATTACGGCTTTACTTACGGAGACTTGTAAATATACTTTTCTACTAACCCGCATTCCTGGACTACTAACCTTTACTTCAAGTCTGTATTCTTACATTTAATACACTTATTTTTCTATCTCAATTACTAGCGTTGTTTATTTATTTGTGCAGGATTCCATTCTCGGGATCCACAACACTTTCTAAGATGACGCTTAGCTTTTGAGGTTTTGAATATTTATCCTTGTCAGTCCACAACGTTTTGTACTCAACATTGTTGTATACAATGCATTTTTCATCATCTATTATGATATATTTAAATAATAGTTAATTAGATAAATACATTTGTCATCACAATTGCTTCCTAAAAATAAATTTATTTATGAATCTTTCTAGTATTGAATTAATTCCATCAGGTACACACAAACAGAATTTTGTGATTATAAGCGCAAAATTAGAACTATATATTGACACATTATACGTAATTCCTTATAGCTTTGTCCTTCTCACACATCGGACGTCGTTCAAGTATATTTTCTTCGATTACATATATATTACTTTTTATGGACTTGAAGGTGTCAGTTTGCTAAGAGCTTTCTTTGTTGTCGTTATCTCATGGGGAATAGATAGATACAAGTCGACTCTTATCGACGGTGTTTTATAACGGAGTCTGGGAAAACGGTCATCTATCAGTGTGTCGGTACCTGATGTGATTCTTATAATCTCTCTTTTTTCTAATTAGTCCTTATTTTGCTTCTCACCAATTTAGTTTATCGCAACTCTCCGATTGTCTCCCCGACCCCTATGTGGATCGAAAATAGACAAGACGGTATTGCATTCAAAGAATAGAAAATTTATCTATATGACTAAATTTGAACATCGCCTACTGGATGAACATTTCTCGCTTTACTTACCTATCTTTACAATAAAACAATCGTTCAGAAATGAGAGATAATAGTTTAAGTTAAACTAGAGTTACCTCCCTTTCGATTTGATTTGTCGACGACATGAAAAGTCCTTTTAATAATGGATATATAATAATGTAGTCCTTTTAATAATGGATATATATATATATATTTATTAAAAGACATTTTTATTTATGTTTAACGTTGTTATTTTATAGATACAAGTATTTAAGCAAATGCTCTGTTTAAGATAAACAGTATTTTATTTATGTTTAACGTTGTTATTTTATAGAAAATATTCTTTCATAAATAGGATTCGAACCTGCATCCACGGAACTAACATATGACGTCATTTGTTATACAATCGACATTCGCCAGAAGTAAAGTTATGGAGAAATGACACGAGTCCATGGAAGATTTAACGTTTTATAGAAACTACAAATCTTCCATTTTAACATATGATCATTGTACATTCATAATGTGAATGGAGTATCGAGTGGTTAACAGTAAAATGACGTCATAATGTTAGTGGTTAAATGGACAGGTTCCGTACAGGATGCAGGTTCGAATTTGTCTATGAACGAATATTTTTATGAAAATTTCTCGGACATTCAGGCCGTAAATGTTATTTAATACTGTTTATCTTAAACAGAGCATTTGCTTAAATACTTGTATCTATAAAATAACAACGTTAAACATAAATAAAAATGTCTTTAATAAATAAATTGTCGGACCTTGTCCATTTCTTAACATATATATATATATATATAAAATACATACCGGCGCGGGAAGTAAAACTTCTATTATCGCTAAATAATAAACTAATCACAGAGAAAAAGGACTTAATATAAAATGATAAGGAAAATGTATATTCAAGAAATCTTTTCATTTTTTTTTTAGCGCATAGGTAAAATAATAACAAGAAGTACAACAACAACGATAATAATGTCAATATCAAAAAGAAGTAGAAAAAGAACAACAAAATCAACAAAAAGACCAACAAAAGACAAAAATAAGAACAACAACATTAGCAAGGAGAAAAACAACAAAAACAGCAACAACGAAAACAACAAGACAAACAAGAGCAAGAAGAAAAAAAACAACAAAAACAGCACTAACAACAAAAATATCAAGAACATCATCATTAACAAAAAGAACAAAAAAATGAAAAAGAAGAACAACAACAAAAAAGAGGAAGTTAGAGGAAAAGTTGAAAGACGGAGAACAACAACAAAAACCGTGCAAAAGAAAAGCGACAACAACAATAATAACAAAACGTGGAAGAAGAATATAAAAGATTAAAAAGATGAACAAGATGAACAACAACAGCAAAAATAAAAGAAAGAAATAAGAACAATCGCTGCAAAAGAAGAAGAAAATCTGAAAAAATGTGTGAAAAAAGGCGGAAGAAGCATAAAAAAAAACAAGAAAATAATAATAATAATAATAATAATAATAACAAGAGAAAGAACAAAAACAAAAAATGAATAAGAATACGAACAAAGGAAAATAAGAAAATGAACAAAAATCACGAGAAAAAGAAAATATGTAGAAGAAAAATAAGAAGAACGAGAAAAAAGAAAGTATATAAACGAAATAAGAACAAGAATTGCGCTGATGGAAATCATGGTTTCAAAATATAATTGATTGTAAGTAATAACACATACTAATATCTAAATATGATTTTCTAACATAGGTGTGGTACAAAGCCGAAATTATGGAACACCCATTGAGAATCGAACTCACTACTCCATCGTAATCAATCTAATGAGAAAAACTTGCTAATCATTACACCATATTGAAGTGTCTCTTGGTGAATAATTTTGAGTCATAGTAAGTAACCCGTCCTTTCCCAACTTTCACCATCTTGCCATATCTCCTCTGGGGATGATGCCGGTTATATGAATGGAATGTCTATGAGTAAGTGTTTAGCAGGAGAATCAGGATTGGCTATCTACATGGTTGATTTCTGCTTAAAATTTATGTACTTACTGATCGATTTGTTTAGTTCTTTACGGTTAATCAACCTTTTGTGTGATACCTATAGCCGTAACATATTTTTTATTATTGTAAAATAATATTCTCTTGTGTGAAAATATTGTATTAAAAACTTAGTGATAATAAAAAAAACCCAAATGCAAGTCCTATTACTCAACCCATACGCGGGTGATGTAATAGAATTATATACATAAGGTCCTTGGGTTACGTCGTTTTCGACGTACGTCATTCCATGGTTACGGCGGCATCTCCCATAATATAATATGTCGTCATGCGGCGCTATATCACGAAGACAACGTTGTTTCTTCACCGCCATATTGCATGGTGCTACATTCGCTATTTCACTTTTGTGTCGTTTTTTTTGGGGGGGGGCGGGAGGCTTTTGCCCTTCATTATGGCGACTAAGCGTAAGGCAGACTCGTTGGTGCTTATGTAGGTGAGTTCCGACGTAAGTCGAGGACTCCCTGTAATATCCTAAGGATATTTGCACGTATGTGAATGTAACGAACTGGACTGGAAATCGAACTCCGCTCTCCGCTTTTTAATTCTATCCATTACATCACACGCACGTTCACAAAGTATCATGGATGAGACACGTAAGCCGCCTGGGCAGTCACAGTTGGATACTTTGGAACACCTTCAGTAAGATGGTGGAATACCTCAAATGTTATGATGGGTAGAATCGATTAAGTGTTTTATGGGTAAAGTCGAGTCTCAGGTTTTAACTTCATCTCTTAATGCAGAAAATACAAGTACTATAGAGAACATCATGTGAAAAAGGTCACAGTGATGTTAAAAAAAAATTAATAGTTTCCTAGACAAGTCTGGTCCCCCTCTCTCCATCACGCTGAACGAATCAAATATCTTCAATAAATCATAGTTACTGAAAAAATGGAATCTCTGAGTCAGAAAGCTAATTTAAATATGTCTTTATGAACGCGTACATTTTTTACAGGAATTGTTTAAGACTATGAAATCTTAACATTTAAAGTTATCAGAAACCCCAAAATGATTGGGAATAGGGAAGACGGGTGATAAAAATCTATTAAGAGATGCCACGCCCTTTACAATGAATAATGAAATTAAAGCAATAACCTACAACGATATAAATACGAAATTTAATTTTAAATGACATTTAAATATTAAATATTTATACTTATATAATGCATCTTTATTCCTGAATATATACGAGGGTCAGCTGAAAAGTTCATAGGCTGACCAAGATATAGATATAAATAGATACATGCGTTAGTAGACGAAAAGACATGAAAGTGAACCATAATAAAAGCTGGCTGTGCAGTTGCTATATTCTGGTACACTTGTATGTATTTTTTAAAAAATTAAATTCAACGTCAATAATCATCTTCTGTCTTCTTGAAACCTGTTTTTTCATTGTTTGTAATCCTTACTAAATTTCCGTCCTGGGTATGACGATAAACTACATCCGCGTCATGAGTAAGACAATAAACTACGTCCAACAACAAGGCCTCTGATCAGGAGGTTTTGATGAGCGTGGAACCACCTCTTAATTGCCGGTGTTCCCAGATCCACCCTGACCTGGGTTGGTAGCACTTGTTAGGATCCGAGCTATGATCAAATAGTTAACACCCAGATAGTTTTTATTACCAGAAATACTTTGTATTAAGAAAAATAATTATTACCAGCAATAATTTTTGAAGGAAAAATTATTATCAGCAATACTTTTAAAAAAAATACCAGCAATACAAACAGCTATACATTCTTTGAAAAAATATTACCAGCTATAAATTTCTTCAAGGAAAAATATTTCCAGAAATAGGTTTTAGAAGAAAAACATTACCAGCAATAAAAATTTTGTCGGCATTAAATAATCCATTGACGTTGGTATGCCGTTAAACGAAACAAACCAAACCAAACTAACTAAATTTTTGTCATTACTTTAATGCCCAGCAAACCCTTGCGTCATATTTTTTTAAGTATATCACCCCAAGCAAGGTGGGGGTGCCACTATTACGCAAGGGCTACAGAGAGCGAGAGCGAGAGTAAAGATGGGTTTTGGGGGAAAGGATGAAGAGAAGGACGGTGATCAAGATCAAGCTATCAGAAGAAGTCGATTGATATTGCCCTTCAGTATTTGAAGATTATGGCTATCAGGGAAGTAAGTTGAAAAAGGTTTCACTGACAGGAGTTGTGAGATAAGAAGTCGTTGGAATAGAAGAGGCGGTTACATTTAACCGTTTCGACAGTGAAAGGTTAGGACCGAGATGCGTACCTAGTAGCACGCTTAAATTCATGCTGTTTGAGAACCAATGAAATTATCACGTCAGAGCAGTTGTCACGAAAATACTTGTAGGAAAGACAGAGGGAAGCCACAGCACATCTGTGAGAAAGTGACTGTAGACGAGATGCCAGATCTGGACCAATCTCATTGCATATCCGTCTCTGGATTTTGTCGAGGATCTTGAGACGAACAGTGGGGGCTCCAGACCATATATGTTAGCAGTATTCAAAGCAAGGACGAATGATTGATTTGTAGATTGATATATGGCAGCGGTGTTCCATGATCCTATTCTATATGCTGGTGTTTCTCAACCTTTTTTCTTCCTTGTGGGTACAAATATAATTTCCATTTTGACAGGAAATATATTTTATTTACAACTAGCAGTAGAGCCCGGCGTTGCCCGGGGATGTAACAGTAAGAGATAGATCAAGTATCGACCATCATAAAGACTGAAAAATAAAATTGACAAAGATTATTGTTTAAGGTTGACGGACACGCATGTCTTAATTATTATTTTTTTTTACGAATTGGTCAAACCCAAAATTAAACAAAAACATTGTTTTCAATCATTATGAGTCCGATTGAATAGAATTTTATTTGTAAATGGAATTTTTAAAGCATTCTGAATGTAAAAATAAAGAAAAAAGTGTGCAAGACAATAAGAAACACTACTTGCTAAAAAAAATAAATGAAGTTTCGTTGAAATCGGTTGAAAAATGTAGGAAATCCGATCCCATATATAAACGAACACACACACAGACACACACAAAAAAACCCTGGGTTTTATAATAAGTATAACTCGATATGAGTTGTCCCCCTTTCATTCTGGCGACAGAATCGTGTTTTATCGTGTTTTCAAATTGATTTCGTGCAAAAACAATTGTGTTTTTTCCAATTTTTGGCACTGTCAGAACCACCGCAAGGTAATTTTACGTAGTCCTGTAAAGTTTTGTTGAAATTGGTTGAAAAACGTAGGAAATCCAATCCAATATATAAACATACAGACACACACACACACAACCTAGGTTTTATAATAAGTATGATAACAAAATGTATTAGCAAATATAAATCCTGACTAATAACAACGCTGTTCCCGCTCTCTCATTAGAGCGAGTTTTCCGATCGTTTTTCAACGATCGAAAGCGGTAACAGTCGCTTAGTGCCACATCTGGTAAATATGGCAAGTAGGGTCAGAATATCCGTATCTAGATTTTGTCGAGGACCTCGAGATGAACAGCGGGGGCACCAGACCATATATGGTATCAGTATTCAATGCAAGGACGAATGATTGATTTGTAGATTTGAAAGATGGACTCAGACGACTCAGTGAACCAACTGTCTTAGTGGCATTATCACCTTGCTTGGGGTGTAATAAGGAACACTTTCAATATTTTGTTTTACAGTGTTTTCTTTTCAAATTTGTTGCTCAATATTCTAAATAATATCTCCCACAAAACAGAGGATAGACATTGCGCAACCAAAACACGAACATACATTGAGTTAGTGAAAGAGATGTTCTAAAAGCTAAGTAAAATGTTGAATTTATATTTTAATTGTTATAAACAAAGAAAAAAGTGCTGGATTACAACGTGATACGTATCCTTTTATAGGGCATTGAATACTGGACGGTCTCGCCTACAGACGAGGAGTAAAATGGCGGCAGCATAAATGTGGTTCTACCGAAGGATACTGAGAATTCCATGGAAAGAGGAAGTATGCAATAAGGAAGTCTTAATGAAAATGCAACAAAAACATCAAACTCAGAATCAAGAAGAGAGAGCTGAAATTCCTCTGATTCCTTAGGAATGAATATTCAGAAAATTTGACCTTTATTAAGGGCAATAGAGATAGGGAAGGCAGAAAGCCACCTACTGGCCTGTTGAACAGGGGTCAGGAACCTTAGAAGTGGGAGAAAAAATACTGCTATGGATAGGACGTTGTGGAGAGCGACGATAGGACAGGGCACATAGAATAAGACTAAAACATTTATCACCAGACCGTTAAAGGACGCCAGTGTCATTCTACAGAGAAAATGAAGAAGTACTGTTTACCGAATTCCTTGCAGTTGAGCAAAAATCTGAAAGATGAAATAAGCAACCGCGCTAATTTTTGACGGGGGCAGGTTTAGATCTATGTTTAAAAAATATGCATAGAATGTCCAGCTAGCAGTACGGATGTTTGGTTAACAATAGTAGCCGCTTCGTCTATTAACAGGGCCTCTTTGATACCCAAAGCACAATCACATTTTAATCAGGTGGAAGAAAACAAGAAGATTCAGTTAAATCTCCCCAGCAATCAACAGCAGTGTTTCCACGTCTACGGGGAGAGTTCATCGGTTATAACTTGTTGTGATGGTATAACCCAACTTCCCCATTCACGATAATGGACGGACTGGTTGCCGATTAAGTACGACCACAGCGGACAGTCAAGAGGGTCTTCGTTTGTTCACACCTATTGAGGTTAGCATACTCCCGACTCTGTCTCTGTATTTTGACATACCTACATCCGATTATAAAATTATTATTGAAAACGAACACTCGGGTTTACTTTGTTTATTATATCTTGCACGAGATATAACATAACTTTTATTTTCTATACGGCTAGAGGATCATCGAAAAGCCGTAATGAAGGTTGAGACAATGAAATCGGGCACGGCTGCTCATTTATTGCGTGAAGAGGGTAGTTATCTCCCCCTGTGGAATTAAATGAAAATACTGGACAAAGATGAACACTGGCGAGTTAGACATCTGAAAGAATCAGTGACTTTTCTAGACAATGAAGATTTCTGTAGTGGCCCTACCATGGACAAAATGTATGGGAGCCGATATTAAAGTAAGAATGACAAATTATAGCAAGTATTCAACAGTAGCAACAAAAACTCATTGTTGTTTTCATTGATATACCACGAACTGTTGTGGTAGGATCCACCTAATTTGCATAGTGGAGTAACGACCATATAAATATGGTTGGTACCGGGAAGAGAGGGAGGAATCAAGAGATTCAACCCGCGACTCTGCCCGACTGCGACTCAGTCAACACATTCTCCAGGAACGGTCTTACCAGGAATATACAAAAGACTATATGTAAATATTGTGTACACTTTCTTGTTTCAATACATTTTGTTCTAAGTAACTTTTGTGTTGCATTATTATTCCATGCATTAGTCAAGTTTCAACACGAACATAGGCGACACTTAAGCTTCCTAAAGGCATTGGTTGCCTTTGATATTCGGTTATCTCTTCATCCAAAGAGACACTTGAATTGACTTTGCTTTCTAAGTAAGTAAATGATTTCACATACTTCAGGTTGTTGCCAACAGTAATGGGGACGATTGCAAAGACATGGTTTATGCTTTGAACCTCTAATCTGCTTAGGTATAGGCCTTGGTTGATGGACAACTTCAGTTTTCTTTATGCTTAAATGGATAATTGAACTGCTGATAAAATGTATTAGTGATGGTTAGTTCGAATTTGCGGCAGAGAGAAAGAAGTAGTAACCCATTAGAATTATAATCCCGACGCCGTCAGTGCCAAGGACACCAGTCCATGTGTGATGGTCAGTACCAACACTTGCATTAAAGTCTCCCATAATGACAAGTTTGTCTCTATGTGGAACTTTGGAAATGATTGAACATAGTTGATCATAAAAGTCATCAATTTCCGATACAGGGATGTTCAAGTTTGGGGCATAACAGCTTACAAGATTGGCAGAAGAATTGTTGTCGAGTTCTAAGACAAGATTCATAATTCGATCATTTATTCCTTTCGGAGGAGATGACAGAGATTTAGCAATGTCTGATTTTTTGGCAAAGCCTGCACCTGATAGGTGGGGATCTTCGCTTTTGCCAATCCAGAAATAAAGGTATATCCTGCACTGAATTCTTCAAGTCGAGAGGTGCCTGCAACACGAGTCTCACTGAGAGCAAAAATGTCAATATTTTGCTTGATTGATGCATCAGCGATGAGGGATGTCTGGGAGAGCTCTTACATTCTAATATCCGAGGATAACACGTTTACGAGTTTTATTTCTACTAAATCGATTATTGCGATTGCGTTATTGGATAACTAGACAACTGCAGCGGGATGCCAAGTTGATTAAGAGCAAGCAATGTTTAGGGCACCTTTTGTATCCCCGTCCCCGGATTGGGTAAATCAGTGCTACGTCTAAATAGACCTGCTTTGTAACCATTGGAGGACACGAACAACACAATTCACAACACACACACACACAAACACGCATATATATATATATATATATATATATATATATATATATATATATATATAAATAAGTTTGCTTTAAAAAGAACAGACAAGCCCTGTCAGTTTAATTCATTATTATATTTATGTTTCTGAGGTATAACATGTTTAGCATTATGGTCGAAATTGTCGGTTAACTATCTGAAGTTCACGATTGTGATTCTCTTTCGTTTAAGCCTTTTTGTAGACTCGTCTTTTTCCTACCTATCACCCCTAGCAACAGAACAGTCTATATATTACGCCTACGAACGGAAAACTTCAACCAATAAAAACCGTACTAGGTGAATCAACCAAATTCATTGGATAATGACACAATAATCTGAAAGTTCACGTGCAAAAACGAAACTGCGCCAAAACTCTGTGAGCCAATTTCGGACTTTCAGGACTTATAAAAGTAAACGCCGACTGCCCCAAGCAGTCAGTAACGAACACCCACAGAGAAATTGCCAACATACTCCACGTCACTCGAAATCACGATTTTTCCGCGCAAAGGTACATCAACGCTGACTCACTCACAATTAAACTTCAACCCACTCTGTGGACATCGATTCTCAAACATTGCTTATCTAAAGTGAATTATATTCACTACCTATTAAGTAACATCAATGTGCGAACGACCTTAAAAAAATTACAGTCAAAGTTAGATCACTCCTAAAGAACTCCTTCTAAAAAGACACTTAATATTAACAATTTTAATATCAACACAAATCTAAAACGGACTGCAAATGAACGAACGATTACAAAGAAAGACATTCTGAAATCTAAAACATCATACACATTTTGCCAACATAACATATACCAATTATCCTGCTTGTATAATGTTTTGAATTGTATATAAATGTTACATTAGTTTCTAATTGAATATGTTTTGTTCTTAATCGTATTTTAAATTTCGTTTATTTATTTGTTGTGGATGCAGAAATTCACGCAACCTACACAAATTTCACTCAGAAGGCTTGGATCAACGCGTGGTATGTTTTCCAGGCATTTTCCAAAGATACAGGATGCTGGGATTGCCCCCGCCCCCTGTCCGATAACATCAGGAAGTCTCCTTCCTGGTAAGATCGACTATGGTGAGATTCGAACCCGGATCGATGCGAACATTCTAACCAATCAGCCGTGTAATATATATATATATATATATATATATATATATATATATATATATATATATATATATATATATATATATATATATATATATATATATATATATATATATATATATAGAGAGAGAGAGAGAGAGAGAGAGAGAGATGGTATATATATAAAGAGAGATAGAAAGCGAAAGATTAATTAATTCCTGTCACGATAATTTATACAATATCATACACTATCATATTTATGCATTTAAGATTCTTTTTACAGTTTTCATTAATTGAAATATCGAATCTTAAAGAAATATTTTATCTCATGATTCGATGCAATATTTGGTAGGATTTTTTTTTTTCATCGAGAATTAACACTCTCTTCGTAGGAGTATTACAAAGACATTTTTCTCAGGCTAATGCATTTTATTTCACCGTTGCTCTCTCATTCATTCACTAACTCACTGTCTCTCACTCACCCTGTCTCCACTTTAGATACACAGACACACACACACAGACACAGACACACACACACACACACACACACACATATATATATATATATATATATATATGCTTTAAACATGTACATACTTTTACAGCCATATATATATATATATATATATATATATATATATATATATATATAAAAGTGACAATCTCTCTGATATATATATATATATGCTTTAAACATGTATATACTTTACAGCCATATATATATATATATATATATATATATATATACTAAAAGTGACAATCTCTGATATATATATATATATATATATATATATATATATATATATATATATATGCTTGTGTGTGTGGCTGTGATGTCGGGAGATCCGAATTCTACATTTCATGCGACAATTTTTATAAAGAAGTCTATTTTCTTCTGTCGGTGAATGACATATTTTAAAGAAGTTAAAAAACTAAAATATAAAAACACGAAAACTGAGTAGTAAAGTCATGTTACATATACTGATGAATTAATATCGTTTTCGTGAGTATAATTCCGTTATCAGCCTTTTGATGTGACACATTTCTAAAAACAAGCCTCGGCAAAGGTAAATCTACAAAGATAGTAAGCCAGAGATGTATATCGCCTGAAGTTTTTCAAAACAAAATGGAGGTACAGAATGAAGCACGCCTCTGTCTACTGAATTCATGTGTCTGAGTATTTCAATCAACCGGTAGTGGCAATAGTCGGTAAACAGGTAGACATAGGTCATAGAGAGGTAGGAAAAATAACGTTAAAATAAGAAAAGGAGAGTAGCTGTTAAAAAGGGTGAAAGTTTACCGTGATGCCAGCAGGAAAATGGCGGAACAGTAGAACGATTAAAAATTCAAAAGGATGAAGTTAATATCTGATTTTTATTTAA